CCTCCGGGACGGGGCTCTCCTGTCCTGGGGACACTCGCCCCGGCCTCAGCCCGGCTCCTCGCGGGGCCCTCCCCCTCGGAGGCCTTTTGTTCCTTTATTTCTTTTTCCCCGTCTTCCTACCTTGATAGAAGCGCGGACTCTTCTCACTGTAGCGTTCCAGCTGGTCTCTCTTTAAATCTCAGGCCGAATTCGTAAATTTTTAGGGTGATTTGAAGGTTATTTAGGTAATTAGGTGGGGACAGGTGACTTAGGGACCCTAATCTTCTGCCATCTTCCCCAGATTTTGGCATTTTGAATGAAATTACCAGGAATGTTCATTTACACTTCTTTGTATTTTCATCTTTTGGGTGGAATTGCCAGAAGTCATGGAGTAGGAACATCTTAAATCTATAATAAAGTAGGAAAACATTTTCTAAAGTAATTGTACAATTTTCCATCCCCGTTGACATTGTATGAATGTTCTGGGAGCTCCACAGCCTCACCAGTAATTGATGCTTAAGGAATTTAAGTCATACAAGTGGGTGTGTAGTATGTTTCATTCTGATCTCTTTGATGAATAGTGAAGTTGAGAATTTGTTTTATTTATCATACTTATTGACCATTCATGAACCTTTTTTTCCATAGAGCATTATCAAGTCTTTTGCCCATTATTTATTGGGTTGTCAAGTCTTTTGTCAAATAAATGTATTACAAATGTCCTTGGCTTGGTTATATTTTTTATTAATGATGATTTTGAAGAACAGAATTTTTTATTATAAAATTGAGTTTATCAACTTACTCTTTTATGGAAAAGAAATCCTTCAATATCCCAGTATCATTAAGGTTTCATTGAGCTTGATTCCTTTAGCTTTCGTTTAGGTCTATGGTTCATTTCAAATAAATTTTTGTGTGGGAGGGAGGTAAGGTAGAAATCAGTTGGTTTGGATTTTTTTTACATGTGGATATGCAGCTGACCTAGTATAATTTGCTGAAAATACTGCTCTTTCCCCCATTGAATGGCTTTATCATATTTGCTGAAAAGCTGTTGACTATACATATGTTGGTCAATTGATATAATCTTTTCTGTTCCAATAATGTATTTGCCTCTTCTTAAGCCAAAACAACACTGGCTTTTCATAACTGTAGCTTTATGTAATTGTAGAAATCAGATAGAGTGAATCTTTCAATTTTGGTCATTTTTTTCAAAATTGCTATCATTCCATCTGATAATACTTACCTTTCACTTGAAATACTTTCTATAATATTTCTTGCAAGTGCAAATCTATAGGTGAATACTTTCTCAGTTTTTGTTTATCTGAAAATTATATTCCTTTTTGAAGAATGTCTTTATTTTTTTAAAACCTTTTTTTTAATTTTTATTTATTTATGATAGGCACAGAGAAAGAGAGAGAGAGAGAGAGAGAGAGACAGAGACACAGGCAGAGGGAGAAGCAGGCTCCATGCACTGGGAGCCCGATGTGGGATTCGATCCCGGGTCTCCAGAATCGCGCCCTGGGCCAAAGGCAGGCGCCAAACCGCTGCGCCACCCAGGGATCCCCGAAGAATGTCTTTAATAAGATATAAAATATCAGGTTGACTATTTTTTCCCTCACTACTTTAAAGATGTCATTTCATTGTCTTCTTGCCTTTTCTGTTTCTGATGAGAAGTTGGCTAACATCCCTGTCATGGTTCCCTGTATGTAATATGTTGTACTTCTTAGGCTGCTTTCAAGATTTTTTCTTTTGTCTTTCATATTCAGGGGCTTGTGTTTGTTTGTTTGTTTGTTTGTTTGTTTATGAGAGAGAGAGAGAGAGAGAGAGAAGGAGAGAGAGAATCCACAAGCAGATTCCCCGCTGGGTGCAGACCCCAATGCAGAGCTTGATTCCAGGATCCTAAGATCATGACCTGAGTGCAAACCATAAGTCGGCCACTTAATCAACAAAATCACTCAAACACCTTGATTTCCTTTGTATTTATTTTGCTTGGTTTTGCTGTTTTTCGTAAGCTTGTAAATTGGCTTTTTGGGACCAAAATAAGGAGATTTTGTTGATGTTATTTCTTCAGCTTTTTTCTGCTTTGACCATTATTCCCACTCCATTGTGTTTCCTCTCCTTCTGGATTCCAAATACATGTACATTAGACCAATTGATCTATTTTACAAGTACCTGAGGCTCTGTTGATTTTTGAAATTTTTGGGCAGCCCCGGTGGCGCAGCGGTTTAGCACTGCCTGCAGCCCAGGACGTGATCCTGGAGACCCTGGATCGAGTCCCACGTCAGGCTCTCTGCATGGAGCCTGCTTCTCCCTCTGCCTGTGTCTCTGCCTCTCTCTCTCTCTCTCTCTCTCTCTCTCTGCATCTCTATGAATAAATAAATAAAATCTTTAAAAAAATATTTTTGAATTTTTTTTATTGTGTGTGCTTTAGATTAGTAATTTCTATGAACCTGTTTTCATGTTCACTTACCTTTCTGCCATGTCTAAGCTGCTTTTAAGCGTATTCAGAAACTTTTTATCTCAGATATTTTGCTTTTCAGTTCTAGAGTATCCATGTTTATCTCTTACAGTTTCCTTTTCCCTGCTAAGATTCCCTATCTGTTCCCTCATCAAGACTATTTTTTCCTTTATGTCCTTAAATATATTTTAATAGCCACTTTAAGTTCTTACCTACTAATTACAACATCTGGAGCTTCTCAGGGTCTCTTTTTAAAAAAAAGTGAGTAAGGCACACCATCACCTGCTTATTTGCTTGTCAAATACATTTTTATTTTATGTTGGACATTATGAATGGTGCAGTGTTCAGATTTGGGTGTACTTGTCTTCCTTTCAAAAGGGAAGAGTTTGTTCTGTCAGACAGTTAATACTGATGGCTGTTCTTAAATTTTGGAGGTTTGATTTTAGCCTTTTTTTAGGGTTGGTCTGAAATACTCTAGGACATACTAGAGTATACTTATTCCAGAAGTATGGCCTTTTTGGTGTCTCAGTCAAATTCTCATGGTCTGCACTCTGGTCTCTCTCTTCTCCCAGTATGTGTGACTTCTGCTGTTTTCATTTTACTCCAGCTCAGTATCAGGTGCTCTCTGCTTCACTTCACTCTGTCTCATCTTGCATGTTTATAGTCCATCCCTTGACCAACGTCTTGCCAAAAACAAAAAAAACAAAAAAAAAAAAACAAAAAAAATGAGATTTGTGGAGTCCTCTTCCCTGTAACCCTGTTTTCTCTAGTGTTTGTCCTTCAATTTCCAGTGGCTTCATCAGTGCTAAGCTGCAATGTGTGTCTCCTCAGTACAGTGAGACTGCTGCATTCAGGTTTTCCTCCCTGTGGTGCTATCAGGAAATTGTCCACAAGCTGACATTGAGGACTCATCTGGGTGTTCTTAGCAATTACATATCTGTGGTATGTACGTGTTGTCCAGTGTCTAAAAACAGTCACTTCATAAGTTTTATCCAGCTTTATGGTTACTTCTCTGTCTTAGCCTGAAGCCTACATCTGGTAGAAACATGCTTTTGAAAGTTATCTTTAGATTATTCATTCTCAAACTTTGGCATATATTAGATGCATCTAGAGGACTTGTTTACACAGATTGTTAGGCCCTGTCTTTTAGAGTGTCTGGTTCAGTGGGTTGAGTTAGGACCCAACAATCTGCATCTCTAACATGTGTCCAGGTGATGCTTATACTGAGGGTCTGGGAGAACCACTTGTTTAGAAAGATGGATCTTGAGAAGAAGTGTAGGACTTTTTTTTTTTTTTGAAATGTAGGACTTTGTATGGGACTTACTACACACAATTTTACCTTTTTCTATTTTTTTGGTCCTATGTCCTATGTGACAGGCTTATGCTTCAGTTGGTTTATTATGATGCTTGCAATCTTGCTCTCTTTATTCAAATTATGATTTTCAAAAAATTGTGGGTCTTTTTGCATTGAAAGAGGGAATTCCCCATTTAATTAATAGAAAATATATGATAGGAAAGAGGGTTATAAAATATTATTATCCTTATTTTTTTTGCCTGCATAAATAATTTGACTCTTTCATCCTCATATGAAACTTCTACAACATAGAGTTTGATAAGCTTCAGAAATAAGTATGAGACTTTTGTTCCAGAAGTAGGGTTTTATTTTAATTATTCTTAGACCTGTATGTATATATGTGAGTTATGTGCCTCTGTGTTTTGTAGGTAGCAGGCAAAACAGTGATAACCATTCACTGGATTGTTGGACCTGAGCCATATCTCTAACTCATATTTCGTGAAAGCTTACACTGTCCTTCACAGCTATGAAGATAGCTTTTATTCTGTCTACCTCAGTAGCATATTTTGTCTGCTCCTTTGCCTCCATTGTTCTAGTGGCTTCATCTCTCCTTGTTAGGATTTTGAAATTTATTGCTTCCTTTCACACTCTCTAAAATCCATGCATTTCCCAATAGCATAAGGCTTGTATTGATGTCAAACTGGTGACTCTTGTTGATAATACTGACATAATTTTTGCAGTGGCAACCAGGAGAGGAAGTGTCCTTCCACTGATGTCCTTAATCAGGAGAGGAAGTGTCCTTCCCACCAACTATTACTTAGTTGGGAAAATGAATTGGTGTTACCCCTTCAAATTCTAATCAGTCTCTGACAGATTTTTTTTATTTACCAACTTCTTTTATTTCTCGGAAAAATTGGTACAACAGCCTCTGTTGCTTAGATTAGAAGGCTCTTTGTTGGCACGTTTTAAATATTGTTTCAGGGGTCCCTGGGTGGCGCAGTGGTTTGGCGCCTGCCTTTGGCCCAGGGCGCGATCCTGGGGACCCGGGATCGAATCCCATGTCGGGCTCCCAGTGCATGGAGCCTGCTTCTCCCTCTGCCTGTGTCTCTGCCTCTCTCTCTCACTGTGTGCCTATCATAAATTTAAAAAATATATATTGTTTCAGCTGTAATGTATGATTATTACAATTTCAATCTCAATTTCAAAGGTTTGTTTTCTAATACTTTGGTATAGGCATAGTGAAATACTAATTATTAAATACTAATTACTCAACAGGTTCATTTTGATGGCTGGGACCACAAATATGACTACTGGATGGACGCAGATAGCCCTGACATTCACCCAATTGGATGGTGTGATGTAACAGGGCATCCACTGGAAGTACCATATAGTGAGTATTTTACTCTTTGTTGTTGATATTTAAATACTTAACCTGAATTTATACCTTAATGCTGTTTTTTCATGTCATTTTAAGTATTTTAGAGCTAAGTATTAGGTGAATTGATTAACCAGTGCTACGGCTATGGTGAAATCTAATTATTCTCAGTTAAGCCTCAAAGGGGCATACTTCTGTAAAAGAAAAGTTATAATAATCACTAAGGAATTGTTTTGATAGTGTTATCTAGAAGAATCTTTATTTTCTACATTTTAGTTTGGCAAACTTAACCTGGTCTAAATCCATCTAATTTGGGCCATTGATTTTCGCTGAAGTGCATTTTTTTTTTATACATTCCATCTAAATTAGTTTTGTTTTGGATTCCTGGGTGGCGCAGCAGTATAGCGCCTGCCTTTGGCCCAGGCGTGATCCTGGAGTCCTGGGATCGAGTCCCACATCAGACTCCCTGCATGGAGCATGCTTTTCCCTCTGCCTGTGTCTCTACCTCTCTCTCTGTCTCTCATGAACAAATAAATAAAATATTTTTTAAAAAATTAATTAATTTTGTTTTATAGATTAAATTTCAGAAAGTTTTAGAAGAAATGTTTTAATTTTCAGCAACTAAAAAAATCTTAGTTGAAAAAAAAGAGTCCTCTTCATTTTCTCTTCCTTTCTAGCTACTTAAAGTTAAGGAGGAAATTAACCACTCTAAATTTTAATGAGCCTTGAACCAAAATATCTTATTCTTTTGTCTGAAGGATTTCTTCGATCAGATTAGGTTGACATGACTAATAGCTGGTTTCAGACACATGTGCAGGCACTGCATTCTTTTGTTTGTTTTCTTCCCTCACTGCCTCTGTTGCTCTCCCATTGGATTCTTGGGATGAAGCTGGCACATTATTCTGTTAAGGCTGTCTTACATTGAGTCAGCCCAATGATGCTTGAACCTAAGCTCTAGAAGGACTAACTGCATTTTTTAAGTAATTAGCTTCTTATAGAAGTGAGAAGGGTTCCTGACTTAATAACTCTACAGACATTTTTACATTGTGCTAGGTGTTTCAGGAAGTACAAAGTCAATAAGAATCAGGTCTTTCTGTAAAGGAGAATCCATTAGCAAGCATGATGCCTTTATATACAGAATGGAAAACTAGAGACCATGGTCAGTCCTAGGTTGGGGGAATAGTGTTAGTATTTGTGCTGTGTGGGTTTTTTTTTTTTTCCTGATTCCACTTCTTACTCTGCCTAATTTCACAGCCCAATATATCAGGTAGATGTTTCTTATTTTATGTTTACTACACCCCTCCCTATATTGTCATGAACACATTCATCCCTCATCACAGTAACATTCTCAGGTAAGAACAGTCTCAGTGCAGGTGAGGTTGGGTCAACATTTCAGGGACAGGGATAGCATAGCTCTCTTTCCTCGACTCTGTCTCACCCACTGCCTGCTCCTCTGTGAAACTGCCTAACCAGCTTCTCAGACTGCCTGTCTCACAAATATCCCAAAGTCTGTGGACCAAGCTGAACTTCATCCCAAGCCAAAGAAAACAAAAACAAAAACAAAAAAACTTACCTTTCTACTGTAGTTCCTACTTGTGTTCAATGTTCCAACTTCTTGGAGCGCCTGGGTGGCTTAGTTGGTTAAGCATCTGTCTTCGGCTCAGGTCCTGATCCCAGGGTCCTGGATCAAACTCCACACTGGAGTCATTGCTCAGAGAGGTGTCTGCTTCTCCCTCTCCTTCTGCTCTTCCCCATCCAAATTGTGCTCTGTCTCTCTCTCTCAAATAAATAAGTAAAATCTTAAAAAACAAACAAAAAACCCACCAAAGTTCCTACCTCTTAAGCAGAATCATTCTGGGCTTTGCTCCCTCTTTATCCCTTCCCCTCCCCACATGTACAGTGATGGAGTCTTGTTGATTCTCTTACTTAATTTCTCCCAAATCTATCTCTGACCTCTGCTTGCTCCCTCCCAGTGCCATTGCATTTGATCTCTCATCATAGCTATGCAGCCTGCTAGTTAGTGGGTTGCACAAATTCTCCTGATAAGCCTAAGATAGATCTCAAAATTCAGGTTCTAGAGGCAGTGTAAACTACTTATTAAAAGTGTGGAATCTGGAGTCAGAAAGCTTGGATTTAAATCTCAGTTTTACTGTTTACTTAGCAGTGTGACTGTGCCCATTTCCTCATCTAGAAAATGGAGATAATATTAGTATGCCTGTCTCAAAGACTTGTAATGATTTAATGAGATAAATGTACACATAATACTTCAAAAACTGTGCAGCCCATTGTATGCACTGAATTAGTGTTGGCTATTAGGAAATGATATAATATTCTCTAAATTTTCATTTTTACATGAAATGAAGTAAATTACTAAGGATTACAAAACTTGAAATTGTGCTAAAATTAATGTGACTAGTTTTCCAAATACTTTAAGTTCTTCCCCTCTTCCTTCTTTCCTTCCTTTCTATGTATTTATTTATGTTTACTTATTATTGAATTATAGTTGACATACAGTATTATATTAGTGTCAAGTATACAACATAGTGATTTGATGTTTATATACACTAAAGAATGATCATAAGTCTAGTTACCATCTGTCACTGTACACAGTTATTATAATATTATTGACCTTATCCCATATTCTGTACTTTTCATCCCTGTGACCTATTTTATAACTGGAATTTGTGCCTCTTAATCTCCTTATTTCACCCATTCCCCCAATTCCCTCTCCTCAGCAACTATTAGTTTGTTCTCTATATTTGAGTCTATTTGTTTTGTTTATTGATTTAGATTCCACATGTAAGTTGTAAGTGATGTTATGTGTTATTTGTCTTTCTGTCTTATTTATCTCAGCATAATATGTTCCAGGTCCATCCATGTTGTTACAAATGGAAAGTTTTCATTCTTTTTATGGCTGAGCAATATTCCATTTTATATATTTTTATGCCACATCTTCTATATCTACTCATCTATTCACGGACACTTGGGTTGCTTCTGTATCTTGGCTACTGTAAATAATACTGCAACAAACATAGGGGTGCATATCATTTTTTGAATTGGTGTTTTTGTTTCCTCCAGATAAATACTCAGAAGTGGATATGCTGGCTGGTATGGTAGTTCTATTTTAATTTTTTTGAGGAACCTCCATAGAACCTCTGTAGTGGCTGCACTAATTTACAATCCTACCAACAGTGCAAGAGGATTCTCTTTTCTCCACACCCTCATCAACACTTGCTATTTCTTGTATTTTTGATAATAGCCAGTCTGACTAGTGACTATAATTCTCACTGATTAGCCAGTGAGGTGACATCTCACTGCGGTTTTGACTTGCATTTCCCTGATGACTAGTGATGCTAAACATCTTTTCATGTATCTCTTGGACATCTGTATGTTTTCTTTGGGAAAATGTCTATTGACAATGTCCATTTTCTAATTGAGTTGTTTGGTTTTTTGGCATTGGTTGTATGAGTTCTTTAGAATTTTTTGGATAGTAACCACTTATTGAGTATACTATTGCATACATCTTCACACACTCAGTAGGTTATCTTTTCATTTGATGATGATTTTCTTCCCCATGCAAAAGCTTTATAGTTAGGTATAATCCCTTTGTTTAACTTTGAGGATACAAATCCCTCCCCTTGCTAAGACCCATGTTTAAGAGTTTACAGCCTATGCTTTCTTGGATTTTTATGACTTCAGGTCTTACATTTAGGTATAAAACTATAGGTCCCCCCCCCCCTTACAATTGATTTCTAGTGTTTGGAAGAAATGTTTCTTATTATTTCAGGCTTCTTACATTTATTGAGACTTGTTTTGTGGCTTAACATGTGATCTGTTCTAGACAGCGTTCTGTCTGCACTTGAAAATATTGTATACTCTGCTGCTTTTGGATGGAATGTTCTGAATATATCTATTAGGTCTATCTGGTCTGATGTGTTGTTCAAAGCCACTGTTTCCATATTGATTTTCTGTCTGGATGATCTTATCCATTGATGTAAGTAGGGTGTTAAAGTTTCCTACTATTATTGTATTACTGTCAAATTCTTCCTTTATGTCTGTTAATATTTGCTTTATACCTATTTAGGTGTTTCTTTTAGGTGCATATATATTTAAAATTGTTACATCCTTTTGTTTGACTGATCCTTTATTATTGTGTAACATGATTTGTCTTTTGTCATAATCTTTATTTTAAAGTTCATTTTCTCTGATATATGAGAGGGCTATTGCTACTCCTGCTTTCTTTTCATTTCCACTTATATGTAATATATTTTTCCATCCCTTCACTTTCAGTCTGTGTTTGAAGTAAGTCTCTTATAGGCAGCATATAGATGGATCTTGTTTTTTTGTTTTGTTTTGTTTTTTGGTTGTTGGGGTTTTTTTGATCCGTTCAGCCACCCTTTGCCTTTTAATTGGCCGTTTAGTCCATTTACATTTAAAGCAATTATTATTTTTTAAAGATTTTATTTATTTATTTGAGAGAGAGAAATAGAGCAACTGTGTGCACAGAGGGAGAGGAAGAAGCAGACTTCTGCTGAGCAGGGAGCCTGACGCGAGGCTGGATCCCAGGACCCTGGGATTATGGCCTAAGCTGAAGGCAGACACTTAACTGACTAAACCACCCAGGTGCCTCTAAGGTAATTATTGATAGGTATGTACTTATTGCTATTTCATTTATTGTTTTCCTTTTTTTTCCATAGTTCTTCTCTGTTCCTTTCATATTTTGCTCTTTTCCTTTGTGATTTGATGACTTTCATTAGTGTTACATTTAGATTCTTTCCTTTTTTAAAATATTTTTTTATTTATTCATGAGAGACATAGAGAGAGAGGCAGAGACATAGGCAGAGCGAGAAGCAGGCTCCATTCAGGAAGCCCAATGTGGGACTTGATCCCAGAACTCCAGGATCACAATTTGACCCAAAGGCAGACGCCCAATCACTGAGCCACCTAGGCGTCCCTAGATTATTTCCTCTTTATTTTTTTGTATATGTATTACAAGCTTTTGTTTTGTGGTTACC